GGACATCTGGGGGCTTTTAGATTCCAAAAATTTTCTGGTACGCTCCGCGCCAACCGATGGTGGCACTCCGCTTAGATAGTCCTGCCGGCACTAAAACCATCCTGGGCAGAACCCTGAACACCCCACCATCACTAATCAAGCAAAGTCTGTCTTGAGCCAGCATGGCTCTTAAGACGTAGGCTGAATCATTTTTATCGGCAGTTTTAATTTTGTTGTATTTTAATCCAAAGGGTGGAGCATTCATATTCTGTAACATTTAATATATGCTTAAGCTTGTCACAAAATATCTGACTGACTAAACTAAAAATCTGAAAAAATACCTGATTTGTTTACTTTCTTTTACTTTCTCAAGGGTTTAATTTACACAATAGTGCACTTTGGGGACTTGATATTTTTCAACATTTTTCCTCTGCAGTTTTCAAAGTGTCATAAGTTATTGGTTTATGATGTTGTCCTTTAATCACCCCAGACTTGAACATCTTGGACTTCCCTTCACCCATCACTGGCCAACAAGACTGTGACTTCGCCGATTATATTGGAGACCTGAATAATGGCAGTGATGGCATGGCATCTACGGCACAGAGTGAAACCACCTCTCAGGATTCTGAATCCGTTGACATGGACACCTCGGATGACGATGCTGACAGGGCAGACTGCGAGGAAGGAATCACGAGGGAGCAGTATGAACAGATGATGGGTCTTCAGTCGCAAGCACCTAAGGTCAAGCCGTGTAACAGTGAGAAAGAAGAGCTGACAGCAGATGTCAGCAGTGATAAACTCCTATCTCAGACACTGAACAGTGATCTCCCCTTGTCAAGTTGGCAGGCACCGGCACGCCATCCAGGCCTGCCAGAGACCGTCCCAGGAGCTAGCACTGTGGCGAGGGTAGTTCCGAAGTCAAAACCAGCCACCAATTCCAAAGAGAACTGCATTGGGGTCCCCTCCAAGCACCCAGTCCCCGTTGCCCTCACCGCACTGCCCTTTGACCTCCACAAGACTAATCCATCAACAGACCCTGAGGTGACAATCCCCATGCCAGATGTAGACCTTCTGATGGAAGTTAGTTCGGGGAATGTTTCACCAGATCCGGAAGAGAAACTGATGGAGTATAGGAAACAAGTTGACTCAAACTCCCCTCCCAGTAACACAACAGAAGTTCTTCCTGTTCAGAGTTCCAGTGGAACTAGTCTACCTGCAAATGAAGTTGGCAGTCCAACTCCTGCTGATCACTCAGCAAACCACTGTAATCAAACAGGCAGTGTTGATACTTCATGCAGCAGAGTTCAAACTAAAGCCAGTAGTGAAGTGGAAATTGCTATTAATGATGCAGACCAGAGTACCCTTAAATTGACAGAATCTCTCAACAGGAGCAGTGATGCCTCACATTTGTCATTATCGGCTTCAGGTGGAGATGCCTCCACAACAGTTGTAAACAAAACTGCCCCTCAAGACGAAATCAGTGTCTTGTCATCAACAGAAGATGAACCGATGGGTAATGTGTCTGATCTCAAGAAACTCACCAAAGACATTGAAAAAGTACAGTCAGAAGATACGCACAACAGTGTCGTGACAGAGAATAGTTCCTGTGTGTATCTAGATAGAGACAAAGAAGATGAAGTCACACAGACAGATTTGCCGTCTACCAGTAAAGGGGATGACTTTGGTTTCGTACTCCATGAGGAACCCAGCATAAATCCATCCTTGGGTGACAAACAATCCAAAGCCCCGGGAGAACGCCAAGGATCCCCTTACAAGAGCAACCCATCCAGAGCAGCTGATAGCAAGGCTGCATGTCCAGCTGTAGCCCCCGTCTCAGCCAACCCAGCCAATCTGAGTGTAGTCTCCATTGAAACAAGAGGGGGCGTGGTCCGTGTCACCTGCAACAGTGGGGAGATCATACCTTTAGCCGTTGTCAAAGCCAGTGCCGATGGCACTATGCAGGTAGCGGTTGAGGGTGACATTTCCTCAGAGAAGGTGGAGGAGCTCTTGTCCAAATCTGAAGTGATGGAGTGCTTGGAGAAAGTGGCTGACAGTGCCTGTGAGAAATTGGAGTCCTGACAGAAATTGGACTTGTGATACTCCTTGGCTACAAAGAGGAACTTTACTGTAACAGTCCTGAATTCTCCAATGGTTGCAGGATTGTGAACTGTTCAGATCAATCAATGTTGTACTTGCAGTTGGGATTTGAAACCATTGTGGTCTCTGTGCACACTATAACCTCATCATTCAGTGAAAAAGTTCAAGTTCAAACAGCTGCTTGGTCAGGGCTTGCTGGCCGTTCCTTTTACATGTATACGCACATTTCTCCCATGTGGATTTGTATGCATGCAGTTGACAAAAATTACCACTGTTGGCTGAAACCAGTGCTGCAGGTTTACGTACTGTGCTTTCATTCACCTCTCATCGGTGCAGTGTCTCTCTTAACCTCCTGGCCCGGAGACAGGCAAAAACTATTTAGGATGGGTGTGTTCAAAAGTTTCAACCCCCCCATCCGTTTCAGCTATCATTAAACAACGCATGGAAATAGGGGCTCAGACAGCACCAAGGGGCTGTCCGTTTCAAAAATGTTGCTGGGAGTCGACAGGCAGTTTTTAATATGGCACGAGAAAGGACGGGCAGATATTATAATCCAAGATGAAACCCTGCATAGGTACATATATGTCAGGTAAATGTGGAATCTCTCTCACAGTTCAAAATCTGTTAAGATGTGGCCTCTGTCATGAAGGCTGTGGGGTTGCGGACAGTTTGGTGTGGAATTTGACGCATACATGTAACATGTCCTTGTTTGACTCTTGGTCAGACAAAAGCAGGATTTGTTGCTGAAATTCGTGATCAGGTTCTGTTTCTGTCGTATTTCTTCCAAATCATGTAACTGAAAGATTGTCTTGGTACATGTATTTTCCCTAGTGCATGAATTTGAAGAGGGCAGTTTTGATGCCAGTGCCAAGATGTTAAAAATGGGAAAATATCTGTTTGGTTTTGGATCCAGCTTTTGTGGAAATCTATATTCATTGCATGAGATCACTGTGCAGTTTCCTAATTCTTTGCAAATAGACATTTGTGTGCATATATGGCTACAGAGAAGCTTGAACGTAAACCTATTCCAATCCAAAATTGATGCTACAAACAATATTGCACCCACCGATGATTTGAGGACAGATCCCATGCAATAAAAGTGTCCAGACCTTTCTCTGTTGCAGTATCCTCATTAGAGTGTGCTTTGATCAGGAGGTATTGTGGGGAAGAAGTTATGTGTATTTATGTTCATAGGTGTCATGATTTCGTAAGTTATTTGCTTTCCACTTGAACCAAGATTTGCATGATCGGTACAAAATGCAAACCAAATACCAACAATTACATCCAGTCAAATGTACTTCAAACTTAGTTGTCCTTTCACAATTTTCTATAAGGAGTTAACCACGTCAGGGAACAGTCAGTAGATGCATTCAACAAAGTATTTCATGTAATGTTTTGGCCCAAAGCCACCCATGCTGGTGAGAGCCATTGCTTATATCAAAAACCGTCTTTAGCTCACTCTTCTTGAAAGGTGTCATAATGGTTTTGTTCTCTTGTAAACGCTCTGAATTAATTTATGTTGCTGCTGGGCTGTCTTCCCTCAGTGTGAAACCTTGCATGTGATATAAACATCTTTGTAAACTGTAAAAAATGATTGCATTGAATCATGTTAATATCGCAAACTCTCTTTCTTGAGTATGAGGGGATTATTTGATGTAAATTTTTTGAAGGCTTCACGTTTTTCTCCCTTTGAGGAATTATGTGACTGGTTGTTTCTTTCTGTATTTTGAATTAAAAAAAAAAGTAATCATTGGAGAGAAACTTTTTTATTCAAATGGAGAAATATGAATTTGGATTAATTCTAGTCACAATCTTAGCACCCCTTAAACAAAGGTGGAAGGTAAATTGACAAGGTGTTCTGTATGTAGCAAAATTTTTATTTTCTTATACTTGGTTTGTTGTTATTTGATAACATTGATTGAATTATTGCTTGGAGCAAAAGTGTCCACAAAAAAGAGAAACTTTGAATGGGCACTCACATTTTAATTTTGCTTGTGAACTGTTACTTGCATGTTTATTAGTTGTGTTAGTCGTATGTGTACTTTCGTTCAGCAACATATGAAATGTTGAGTGCAATCGCTCATTGTGCGCAATGGCTCGATCTTTGTGCACTATTTGTTAATAATTCTGCCATCAGCCAATCGCGTTTTCTAATTTTCGGTTGTGAAAGATTTTTTCAAAATAGGGACAAATGGGGAGGTTAAAGTTGGAGGTTTCATGCAGAATCGTCCGATCACGCAGAGCAATGTGACCTAAGAATCTGACCTAAATCTTAACAAATATTAAATGAGGATGAGCAACATTACTGAGTGAATTAAAGTAATACTGTGGGAAAGCTATTTTAACAACTGAGTGTAAAATATATTTAACCAAATTGTAATCAAAAGTTAGATGCAGAGTTGAAAAGCAAGTGCTTGAAAAGAGTGATGTACACCAGATGTCGGTGTGTTCTTGTAATATTGTTTTAATATATTCAAAGGAAGTCTCGCTTTATCTTGAATGACTTACCCTAAGCATCTAAGACATTTGGCATATGCACACCTCTGGAACTGACAGATACATGCGCATTTATAGTTGGTTGGATTGCTCCCTGGAATTGTGTCTGTACCTGAACAATGCTGATGAAGGCTAGTAGCCAAACAGTGTGCTTTGGACACAGCCTGTGCATAATCTGGTTCCTAAGCCCCCCATTGCAGACCATAAGTAAGGAAGATACCAGTGCTGTATATTGGCAGTATTAGTTTGGACTTTTACTGCTGTTTCCCCAAATGCCAGGACATATATAAAATGTTTTAATTTGGAGTAGCTGTATTTAATTTGAATGACCTGTTTTGGTTTTAATGAACAATTTTTAAATTGCAAGGAAAGTTGTATTGCTTCTCAAAGTAGTAAGGACTTTGGAAGAGGATTTGGTGTAAAAATGAATATTTTGAAAACTTTCATGCTTACCGTAGGTTTGTGTAAATATAAATACATGTACGTGTATTTTGAACCTTTTGATTCTTTTAAGAGAGCTTAATTGTGTATGTGTGTATTAAAAATCTGGAATTATATTTGTTTAATAGAGTAGTTTTGATTAATATGCAACTGCTTTCTTGAGAATCCCATATTTTCTTGTACATGGGTAAATGTACAGGTTGTAATATCTTTTGTTATTTGAACTTCCCTCATGAAGAACTAAATCCTGCATTAAAGTGCACTCCTATGATCAACAATAAATAATGACAAGGAGAGACACATCTTCCACGATCAGGCGTAAACTAAAGGCATTGTTGATGATTCAGGTTTCAGATGTTATGTGAAAAGTTGTATACTGATGCAACTGATATTAGTGTGTGGTGGGGGCCTGATCTCCCCCTCCCCCGTACTGTGCATGTATTGGTAACACACGTCAAGATTTTGCTCGCCTGTCCACGCCCCCTTTAACTAGTCTGAAGACTTTGGGGAATTTTACAGGCTTTTTACTCATTTTTTTCAGAGGTTTGAAATGGACCAGGCACACTTTTTCAATCTCCTCCCTAGATTTGCAAGGCAGACGCAAATGGCATTTTTTAGGGGTAGTCCAGATCATGAGGGGAAATGACATTTGAAATGAATTCTTTTTTGTTTCGTTTCTCTGTATTCTCACCGAGGATAGGAAAGAAAATTCAGAAACAGCCATGCAGTTCCACTCCACGTCCGAAAAGTTAAAGATAAATCCCTTGTATTGCAGTTTTCAGTTGATCACTCTGCATTTTTGATTTTTTTTTTAAGTGGAAACTGAACCGTGCCATGCAGAGTTAAGATTCATTATCATACATGGTTAGCAGCGGCAGTATAAAAGCCATCCAATCAGATCGGACAATGCACCTGCTATGTGTGATGGTTATGCTAATGAGCAGCACGCGCGTTTATCAGAAGCAACTGTGCGCAGTGTTAAATCTGTGATTCAGTAGTCTGGCACCCTCACGATTGTGTGCGTATTTGCGGTCAGCTTGCAGAGCACCGATTACTAGTCACTAGGGCAAACATTCCCCAATGCTGTGCATGTCACACGCGACTATCGGGAGAGCCGGTGGCCGGAGGATTTGCTTGTTTAGAGCAAAGAGTAAGGCACTCCGAATTCTGAGCCCGTTGAAGAGGCCCAGTCTGCATTGTTTTGATGCTGACCATCGACATCGGTCTAGCATCCGGATCGTTTGCTTGGCTGGTGCTTTTTGTGGTAGCAGCACGGGGGTGTAGGCGATCACCCTGATCACGGTGACTTGGGGGAACTGGTATCTAACAACACTTGGTATTTCAGGTAAACTGTTTAGTCAGTTTCTGTGATAGAGATGCCTATCCATGGATTAGTATTATGTTTCCCATGACTGAACATTACTATTCTGCAGTATTTCCTGCCATATAATATTGATGGCTATGGAAAGTTCGATCATTTTGAAAAGAAAAAATTCTTTTACTTTGTAGGCCTAGTGCGGCTTAAGCATGGAGGAAGGGCTTTCAAATTTGTTCAGTCACTTTTGAAATTAGTGCTGCTTAATAAAAGTGTTGACAGTCGATACAAAATATATCATCTTCCTCCATAATTAAAAAAAATTAAAAGGATCCAACGAGTGAATTGTTTTTTAATGTTTTTAATGTTCTAATTATTGTTTTCCAAATGTATGTACGTTGATGTGTTCAATGTGGAAAATTAACCTCTGTGCTACAAATAGTGATTTTTATTTAGTAAAAAAATAAAAGGAAGAATGTAGCATCCCAAGAAGGGCACCCCTTCATAAGACTTTGACAAGCCATTAGGCCAAGTAAAAAACAAAGTTTCTCGTTGGGGTTTCTCATGTAAGAGGAGGCGGTGCTTTTTATTTTTTCTCATTGGCCAAAATTTGAGATTTTGGGAAATCCTTGGTTCAACAAAATGTTTGTATGATAAATAAATTGTGTTTACACCCCACCCTTTGTTTCCACTGAGTACAATGTACACCTAAACATGCAGCCATAGTACAGACTCTCATGCCTATGGGAGCACTGAAGCGAACAGTAGCTAAGCCAGCTACAATGTATGTGATGTAGAAAGTTACCAAGAGAGTCTGAACAGAGAAGCAAAGGACTTGCACGGACAATCATATAAGTGCATTTCCCATGGATTGTTAGGGATTTTTTTAAACTTTAAAGACATTGTGGTAAATAAAAAATAAGGATAAAATGCACGTGGGTCCAAAAAAGGAAGCGAGAGGGGATGAGAAACAAATTTTTTAAATTTTACTTTGCCTCAGATAGTCATGTTTTGTCAGTCAACCTCAGACGAAATCTAGTGGTGTGGCTCCAGTAAGTAACATTATTGCCCGAGTTTTGGGTCATTGAATGGTTGATCATTTGCTAGTTGGGGAAGAGGCAACCAGTGTTCCCAGGCAAATGTGGAAGCACATTTATAACGTGTACATGTAGATCATAGCAAGCCGTGTGCAATGTTGTTCCCCCACTGTAGATCGCAGTGATATTGCACTTGGAAAACAATATTTACCAACCAATTGCCGACTTTGCACCAATTCTATAAACTGGTTGGTGTTTCTGGTGCAAATATGTTGAACAAAATGCATATATGGCACTGTGACGGGGCTCAGTGCCCCTAACGTGGTGTAATTTGATATTTTTGCATTTGGTGCCCTACTAGAGTAATGTTTTTACCTCAGATTTTACAGAAAGTGAAATGTCAACAATCTCTCAGTTTTCCCTTTTATACGTACATGTAGTTGTACCTGCTACCAAGTTCCAAATTCTATGAGCCTGATTTTATGATTTTTTCTTTTTCAAAGTGCACAATTAATTATGTAAAATGTGCTCAAAAAAGAAGAAAATGATTTTCTTTACAAACCTGCAGTTAGGTATGTGAGTGGAGGTACAGGTAATAATGATTTATCAGAATTTACCAACTTTACAGGAATCCTTAAATGTCAAATGCGGGATTTTCTTAAATTTGTTCAAGTGTGCCACATTAAAGAACACTTAGCTGAATTGCTGCCAAATTTTTGGATGCTACCATTTTGAAATTTTCAGCTAAATTTCATGGCACTGAAATCTTTTACAAAGGTTCAGATCCGTTTACATGTACATATAGCTTCAGTATTTAATGAAGGAATTGGAAGTTTTTCAACTTTGCACTGACACGGAAAGTCCAGGGAAACGTTAAAATACACCATGCTAGGGGATTCCTCCATATACTCTGTAGTTTGCTTGCATTGTCAACCAAGTGTAATAAAAAATTAGAGAACCTTGAACTTGTGTGTGATGGAGTTCTCCCCCCCCCAAAAAAAAGTTAGCATTGTGCATATACTAGTTGGTTTCTAGTGGTTTCATTATTTACAGATCTGGTTTAGTCAGCATTGTGTTTTCTCCATTTGCCCCTAGTTGTGATCAAAGTGTGTCAGAAACAATGCAGATACTCTAGTAGAATATGGGTGATTCACAATAGTGTGCCACCAAGAGTTTGCGACACGTTGGCCAATCATAGCGCGCAAAATTTGTCGACCCTTTCTAAACGCACATTGGGTCGACAAATTTCATGCACTGTGATTGGCCAACGCGTTGCAAACTCTTGGTGGCGCACTATTGTATTATTGCCTCTCATTGATCTTGGCCTTCATACAATACACGCAGTGATTCAGATTGAGAATTTGATCCCTATGTAAATGAACCATTCATCATAGGTCCACTTATCAAACGTCTCCTACACACATATGGACCACATATGTTATTTTTCTATCTTCTAAAACAATTCTAATAACTGGGTCCTATTGATCTTCCAGTGACCTGTAAAATCTGTCTTCAGATTGCTGAAATTTGACCTCAGATTGCTGAAATTTGACCAGATGTTTCTGAACTCCTTGATCTGACTTTGAAATCCTGAGTGCTGAAATAAGCAGGATTAAATATTGAGAGTCAAATAGTTTCATACTGGATGTAGGTTTGAGCTGACCCATTGAACTGGGTCAGGAGAAAACATTTCTCAGTTAAAAAATTAAGTATGAACTAAAGTCTGATCCCGTAAAGCCCATACCAAGGTTTGCTGGAATGTCATACATGTTTGTTTGGGATTATCCCCAGTAGCCTTAACATCATTTCTTAACATGAGGACTGATGAAAATATTTCACAGAGTTACTGGAGATAGTGTTAGAGTGGCTTCAGGGATGTTTTCTCGCAAAATTCTATGGAATTTGTGTGCTAACCATTACAGTTCACATTACAATTCACATTTAAAATAAGGAGCAGGAAAGCAGCACTTTCAGCGGAACAGTATGGGTGCAAATGAAGGAATGTGAACATTGTAGATCTCATCATGGCTGGGCTGTCTGTAACAAGATCAGATGGTTAGAAATCCTCACAAGAAAGCCTGTGACCTGTACAGACAGCATGACTCATGGATATTACGCAAGCATGCAATTAGGCTCTCCCATTGATCAATGTCAGTCCAGAGACAGTGAGCACACACACTCCCTCCCCTCCCATCACATGCAAGCTCGCATTATGCACTTGGGCCCACGGTGTAAGCAGCTGAATTGCTTAATTATGTCAGATTGTCTCCTCGGCGTCTGCGCTGTAAGGTCCCGATGCATGCACGCTGCTGTGAGGACTACATCATCAGTTATATTGGTCCCCGCATGAGTCAGTCGGAACACAGGGAAACCTGAGGCTGTTTATGATGCTTGGCGCAGCGATTCCTTGAACCATTTCGTCATCACATTGGACCAGACTGGTGCAGGCAGATTTTCTCGGTGGCACATGCGGATATTTTTCTTTCGTGCTGGTGAGGTTGGGCCGGTAAAAGTGAGCAAACAGGTGTGTGTGTGTTGAGTTGGGGTTTGGGTAAATATTAGACAGAGTCATGGGTTTTTATTTATAGGGCAAAGGTGATGTTTCATTTTAAAAAGATTGATCTGTGTTTCACCTTTTGGAGCAGTGCTAAAAAAATCTGTTTTTGCCATTTTACTACGTCATGGTAAGAAATCATCCTTTTGTCTTCGCTGTTAAATGTTGATTTTACATTGTGTTTGTCTGCAAAGAACTTCGTTTTCAAGAAGTACAATGTACTGTAGATTCTTTTCATTGACCATGTTTTTCCATTCACTATTGATAGTTAGTGGATGTTAGATTACTACATGACACTTGAGACTGTTTGTTAAAAAGGCTTTCCTTTTGCCTTGTACCTGCACCGATGGATATTTTGATCATAGAATTGATGGCAGTATTCTTCTCTGTTGATGTGCCCAGGTGACTTGCTACATTTTTGCTACATTTTGTCCAGTCAAGAGGCCGCAGTATCCATCAACATGGCAGACTTATCACTGACTGAGTTTGAGCATTTTCGGCCCCAGGCAGAGCGTAAGCACCATATGCGCAACGGTATACCCAGTCCCTGCCACAGTGCCCACAACCTCCTCCTCCGCACCTCGCTCCAGAAGCGCACCCTGGAAAAGAAGGCCAAGAAGGTCCGCTTCTACCGCAATGGCGACCGCTTCTTCAAGGGGATCGTCTATGCTGTCTCACCGGAGCGCTTTCGCACGTTTGAGTCGCTCCTGGCCGACCTGACCCGGACGCTGTCGGACAAGTCGCATCTGCCACAGGGGGTCAGGCAGATCCTGAGCATCGATGGCTCCCACAAGATCATGAGCCTGGACCAGCTGGAGGCAGGCGAGAGCTACGTCTGCTCCTCCATCGAGGTCTTCAAGAAGATTGACTACCTCAAGAACAGCGATCCCAGCTGGCGTGTGGGCATCGTGGCCAAGAAGGAGAAGGAGGCAGCAGCAGGGGGTGGGGGCCGGGAGAGCAGCACCCCCATGCCCCGTACCACTGAGGGACTGATCGAGGACAACCGGGAATTCATCAAGCCTAAGCTGGTCACCATCATCAAGAGTGGGGCCAAGCCACGTAAAGCAGTCAGGATCCTGCTGAACAAGAAAACGGCCCACTCCTTTGATCAGGTGCTGACAGACATCACCGACGCTATCAAGTTGGACTCGGGAGCCGTGAGGAAGCTCTACACACTAGATGGACGACAGGTGAGTTTCACCCACGTACTTTGAAAATGAAATGCAAACTCACCCAATGCTTGACAGGTGATTTGTGGTAATACAGTTATAGATTGACATTTGGACTTGATCAGACATCAAGCACATAAATGTGGACCCATATATTGAAATCCATGTTACTCTCCACTTGTTTTTATTTCTGAAGATACATGTAGTTGTTTAAGATATTTGATTGTGCATGCCATTGTGCAATCGGAGCTTAAATTTATGAATTATGCCAGTTTAGGAGTGACTTGTCCTGAATATTTTGTGTAGACTTTGTACATTGGTAGGCCTACCATGGAAGTGAAACTGTGGTACAAGTAGAACCCCCTGAAAGTACATGGTAAATTCATTATACTGTTTTTCCTAACTTGATCTTGAAAATCCCTTTCAATTACTGCTTGTCTAATAAAGTGGCTTTCAGAAATTCCAAAGCTTATTATCTTACTAGCTGTGTGCATGATAAATCTAAAAACCAAAAATGCCTGGTGCAGTCTTGCATAAACCTTAGTTATAACACAGCTACATGTACGCTTCATGTAGGTTGCTTATTAAGCATGGAAATATTATTGGATTCTGGTCTGACCACAACTTAAGAAAGGATTTGTTCGTCAGCATCCAAGTAGTTCATTCTTGTTTTCTAAGAGACATTGGGGGCACATAATGCACATCGTGAATATTTCTTGTTTGTAAATTTTGTCAGATAAAAGTTACCATATTCATATGTAACCAAAAGCTGACATTCACGTACATGTACATGCAGGGATGCATGTTGATGTCTTCAAGAATATGGGCCTTCATCAGTGGCTCAACAAGAGAAAAAATCTTCATCTTAGTGGGTATCACCATAGTCCCATGTATTGTCTTGCCCTAGGCAACAAGTTTCACTTTCAGGGGATGTTTGAACAAGAATTGTGCATTCATCTTTCAAAGATGCTTTTATTCATGACATTGACAGCTGAACATGCATTTGTAGTGTAAATATCAGGTGAAGACAAACTAGAGGTAAATTCACATTGTTAAATGTAAATCTGAAGACAGCTGTCCATCAGTGCCACATAGGCAGAACAGTCAGGTAATTGCCATAGAACTTGGATACATTGCTAGACTTTTCATTCCCAGCAAGGAGAAGCTTTGGCGCCATCCTGAGGGCAGACATTTTGAATTCACGTGCCTGTGTGTGGAAAGACAGTGAAATACATGTAAGATGGAACAAATTTAGCATGAACATGCAAATACAACATGTAAATGTATGCAAATAAAATGCTAGGGCATTGTATCATTCGTATGATGCATTAAAGGCCACAGCACATTTCATCTGCAGCATACAAGTGCATGCGTTTGCACCATTTACTCGATCTGAGCAAAATGACACGCTCATTATAATAACTGTGCATTTAGGTTTCGTTGTATCGGCTTTGTTAACACATTTTTTAGAATCCAGACTTAAATATACATGTACAAATAGCCATACAAAAGCCGCACAAAATGTCAAGTTTTCAACTGGTTTTTGATCAAACGTAGATGCACCTACATGTACATGTAGGCTCTAATAATATGTACATGTACAGTGCTGTGACAATATCACCCATTCCAATTATCTTGGTGTTCAGCCCGGCCAACTTGAATGATTTCTTTCCTGAGTGTGTTAGGAGTAGGAATGTAAACATTTGTCTGAAAGGCAAGCTGGTCATACCAGCTTCTAGTGTGTGCAAGTCCAATGATTAATGGATTTATGACTTTCCAGCCAAAAATTTGGAGGACCTTGTTGACCGATTAAGTTGCCATCAATAATATCTCAATTATTTGTTCAGTTTTGTTTTTTATTGGTGCAATAGAAGGCATGTGCAGTGGTGTTGACTCAGGCCTGGCTCAGATGTCAGTCTTGTTGATTCATGGTGCAGATTGCAGAAATTTGATTTCAAGAGTTCACCACACAGACTTTAAATGTTCTCATTTTCACTCAGTGCTTTCTTTGATCTATTAGTTTTTTTCTTTCTTTGCCTCAGATTTTTTTTTCATTTTTTACAGATAACTATTTTTGGTAATGCTGTAATGTGGTTATGATCATGATGCAGTTAATTCTTAGACTTCAAAGAATTCATTATTTTCTTGACATATTACAAATGGCATTTTCAATCTGTTCTTTACCACACCCTTCAAAACTTTTCCACCTTCATATTTGGCTGTTTTCTTCAGTGTGCTTACAGCTTTTAAAGCATAGCCCTCTGTGGTAAAAAGTTGAGAATAGCATTGTAAACAACTGTGTTGCATAGTATTACAGTACAGTAGCATCATGAACTATCATTTTCAGGTAGGTTTAGGACTTATCGAAATCTGTCAACAGATCATTCACCTGTTTTACCATCATTTATTATTAGAAAATGCCTTGATATGGGCTGTCCTTTATTATTCAGATTTTGTAGTCTCAAGTGGGTGTTTGGACTTACATGTACATGTACATGTATGTGTAACTTAATTGGGCTGAACAGTGGCTATCAGTTGGCTTGAAAGGAGAAAGTAGGAGAACATAAATCACTCAGATTTGTAGCATTTAAAAGAGAGATGTGATGAGATGTGAAATGCACTCACATGTTATGTCATGAGCGGATGCACGTGTGCATGGCTTTTCATGACCACCATCACAAGTTCATGAGTTTTGTCTGATGGCTCTGTGGTCTTATCAAAACCCTCCATGATTCAGGGAGGAGGTTTCTTTTGAAATGCGAAGTAACTGTCATCACTGACACAGCTGTGAATTAGAGCAGGAAAAAGGTCAGGATATTAGCCTCATTTTGGGGGCCTTACAATGCGTGCATTAATGGGCCACATTCATTATGTGCGGTTTGTGCCTTGGGCTTCTGAGACCAGACAGGGATGCAAAGCATATTGACACTGCCGGCTCTGTCTCATCCATGACTCATCCCTTTGTGTTTACATTTTCACCTGAAACTCATAAACGCACTTCATCTCCTGCTTGTCCAGCCCATAGTGACATTTGTTACTCATTTTTATAATGAAATATGGTTAATATCTCACCATCATACACGTTATGACAGGTTTGTTGACAGGATTTATGACGAAACGGCACAAACTTATTAATGGATTTCCACTTCCTTTGGGGTTTATTTGTGCAGGGATGACCCAACTGATATTATTAGAGTGCATGTACTTGATCAAACGTTATTAGGATTATAGCACACCAAAGAAAAACTTTTTGAAGTTTGTGAATCTTGCATACAGACACATGGTTCCCAGATGCCAGACATGAAATAATTTTGATGATGCACATGCACAATACCATTCCTCAGTGAGTGTCACATCAGCAAAAGCAAGTCAGTAATGGTCATAAAAGTCAGTGTTGTTGTAAACGTGTCTGTCAATCTCCAGCATCCTTGTGTAAAAGAATTTGCAGTTTTTCTGCTAGGTTCCTAATCAACCAGAGCCTGTTTGTACTCATCAGAGTATGTTGGATTCAGCAGGTTTCACTTAAGGGCAGTGAGGATTGGGGCTTGCATTCCAATCAACTGAATTCATCCATGTAGGATTCTCGTTTCCCTACGGAAGAAGTTCTCTGCCATTTTCATATTTTTCAGGGAAACTAAGGAATGTGGTTGAGCCCTGTTCAAATAACCCAAGATCTGTTGCCATTGTTTTGGACACAGGGCCAGTGTATTGATTCTGCATTTAATGTAACTGACTGAAATGTATCGCACACGCACCACTAAACGCCGTGCATCGATCGGGCATACAACCTGTGCATCTCATTGACAGGTTCTTGGATCTTGCAGCAGAAAACTCATCACTGAGAAATCCCTCATGAAGCTATTTTTACCACATTGGGACCAAATTTCCAGATGAACAGGACAATTACATCTTCCAAATGATGTTAAATATGATATAGAGGCTTTGCATGGTATCCATCTTGCAGGGCAGTTCTTTTGTTGCACAGCAAAACCTCCTTTTGCATACCCTGTGGAACAAAAGCACTTGCCTGCAAGATGGCAGCCATGCAAACCCTCGATGTTAAAATATTACAGGTTCCAAGTACATTCTTTGAAATGTTTGAGAAATCTAATGATCTGGAAATGTCAAAGTGATTCATGAAGCAGCAGGACAGGACATAGCGTATACTAGTGCAGTGTGAAGAATACGGTGTACATACAGATACAATACAGATGCATCAAGAAATATTTATTTTTGTCATGTTGTGAAGCGATCTCATTAAAAAACTGTAATGAAATTGGTATTATAATTTATAAAGTAAATATATTGAGAAGGAATGTTGCTTGAGGGTGATGATGCATCACTCAGACTACAGTCATGATATGTCCAATGCCCAGAATTGGGTTGTTATAAGTTACTGTCTGAAGTGTAATTGACAAGCACTGCAGGCCAAAAACTACATGGAACGTTAAGCCCTGTTTATTGATTCCAGTTGGACATTCTGCATCTCATTCCACATTGACCACTGCAGAATCTCAGGGAATGCGAGTCAGATGAGCTTGAAGGGACAGAATTCACTATGGAATCCAGGTTGGATTTTGAAATCTGACATTCCTTGAACAAAAATTAGCAGTCAAGAAAAGTAGCCTTTGCAGCTGGCAGTTGTTTCTCATTGGCCGTTGAGACAAGCCTTCTGATATGTGCAGTGATGATACTTTATGCTCTTTGTTTTTTTAGCAAAGCTGGAACCATTCTGGAACTGACAGCAACTACGTGTACATATATATTAATGAAAAACAGTTCTACCCCTGTCCATAGACTTACCAATTCCTTTAAGCATGTTGAGCTGACCTGTTATTTAGTATACTCATTACTTCTGGGTTTGCTCAAAGTACAGTTTGCTGCAGTTTAGTCAGTTTCACTGAAATGTCCAGTCAATATCTATATCTAGATTGTACATACGTGTTGATAATAAAAATCCTTCAGAATGTCGAAGGAAAACATTTACAAAGCGTACCACGTGTAGTCATAAATGCTGTTGTTCATTTGTCATTTTTTTCATGTGCATAAATTGCTACATATATTTTTAATCACGTGAGCAGGATTCTGGTTCTTTTTTTAAAAACCTCATGGTTTTGGTTTTTCAGTAATTAAAGCACTTATCAATTACTCTTAGTGCATAGAATTTAGCAAGGGCTATATGACTTAAATAGAAAAGAATGTACATATGCACTTTGACTTCCCTTCTGATGCATCCCAACAGCTGTCAAGCCCCAAGGATTATCAGGGAATGCAGGAAGTACATGTAAATCACCACAGTCTTCTTAATTGGGCAGATCATATGCAGATATAGGCCTGTCATTGGGAATGCATTAAGTGGCTGCCAGTGCAGTATGCAAGGTAATTTACATGCACATGTACAGTATTGTACACATATTGTACACAACAGAGTACTCATATATTATATGTATGCTACCTAGCAGGTGCTTTGTCCAGAAGAAAATGTTCTGATTACATGAAGTATTGACCCAGGCATCACAAATGCAAGCCATATACACAGGTTGATTTAATTATCATATTCTTATGAAAATAATTACATTTGTATGCCTTGGTAGTGCATTGTACACTGAGATCAATGAAGAGTCAAAAATGAGTTCGGCACAGTCAGTCGTTCATGAAAAGTGGATATGTACATGTATTAATTATTTCTATACATGTACATGTACATGTAAGTAATTTAAGGTTTTTTATTTTGTTGTAGCTGTCACACTTGGAAGATGTTAATTGTAGACAGTACAAATAAAGACCAATCCCCATAGTATGTGAATTTGTAAAAGCTTATTATCACTTGATATAACTTTTGTCTGAATTTAAGGGAAAGAATTCACAAGATGTTTAAAAATACCACATCAAACTTATGAGCCATGCCCATAAGTAGATGCAAAGAAATGGTGGATTTTGTGTGCACGTGGACAAGTTGTATGCAGGTATTAAGTGTCGTTTTTTTTCCACACACTGCAGTGAAATCATTGCCATGAGCAGGGTGTTAGTTTCAGTGGCCTTTCAGAATCTACTTAAGTCAGTGCACTGAAGCACAGATAGCTGGACCTGCATCTTTGCACTTTGGTCATTCGGTTTACATCCAAACAGGGAGACTGTAGCCCAAGGGGAAGCTACAGAAACAAAAAAAATTGCCTTTGACTGTGTGATGTGAATGCAGGCTGTCAAGAAAGCTGAGTAATTTAGCTGACAACTTAGGTATAAAAATAAGTTTTATTATCCTAAAGGTGCCTTTCAAAGCTACAAGAATTTGAATGTTATCATCTAGAAAACATAAAATTTTGTGTTGATGGACTTAAAATTCTCCACATGGATGGCATACGTCTTAATGTTTTATTCCGGGGGGGGGAAATTTGTAATCTTAATTTCAGATTTCAATATTTTAAATGGCACGTACTGATGCATGAAGAAAACATGGAATTTAATTTGTTGTTAACCCTGTATCATTTAAGTAAGACTTTTTTTGTTGTAAAGTAAAGCATTTCAAGTGCAAAGTCCTGCTTTAAAATCAAAGGTTCTAAGCAATCTGATATTGTTGTGTTTGTTCCATGGCACCGAAAAAAGAAAATTTAAGGCAGAACATCTTGACTAAATCTGCATTAGATACTGGTACATACATGTATGCATGCATGCATGGCCCTCACCCACAAGGAACCTGTAAGTTGTAGTGTGGATTTCCTGTGGGACCATCGGGTAATTAATGAACACCGCAAGCTGAGTAGAGAGAAGCTTATCCAGCAAGTGATGGATAATGGAGACGCTGGAGGATTGATTGCTGGGAAAGTTTGAAATACATTTGTATTGTATTGTTTCACAGTACTTTCTTATCACTGATCTTAGCATCCTGTTTGTTGCAGCAGGTTTGCGGCAAAGTTAATCTGTCCTTTGGGTCATCGCACTTTCACGCATTGAATGTCTAACTGGACTGAGCCTTTGTTCATTGATGGAGCAAGGCTATTGCCACTTGATAAAGGTCACCTCCAGTAACTCCCCTGAGGAACATCTCATAGGGTACCAGGTACCAGTGCAAAGACCAGTGTTGATTGAGGCATCAATTGCTTCTGTTACACTTACAGATGGTTTGATCAAACTTATTCAATTGAAAACTCCCATCCTGGGATTCCTTGATGACATCTGAGAGAAAAAACACCAAAAACCAAATTAAACCTGCTCAACCTCGCCACCCTCTCCAGATGTCCACAGATATGTAAAGTGCTCAATTGGGTAAGGGTTTGAATCCAGGGGAAAATGGTAGTAAATCTCCCAAGCACGACCCTTCAGCAAAGTTGGGGGCTAACAAAAGGCCTCAATGTGTGGCCGAGGGATAGAATTTCATTGACAAGAGGCAGAAAGGGGTTCCCACTTGGTGATTGGTATGGGGGAAAAAAATTGTCTGATGTTACTGATCACTGGAACTCCACCCAAGCTTATCCCCAAGGGGGTGAGCCTTGAAAGCCCCAGAAGAGAGAGATGATCTACCCAATTGGAGGAGTGTCACGATTGGCCTGTTTCTATGATTAATTCTTGAGGGGATGGACGTCCCCGTGTTCTCTGTCCAAATTCTGCATATGCAGTAGCCAGAAAAGTGTGGGTTCCTCTTACATGGGCAATAATGATTGGTTAGTCCTTGGAAGAACTCTGCATTTCTTTGTTTACAAAACACAGTGGTCAGATCCATTCAAATGAACAAAAGTTTCCATCCTCCCAATCAAACAGTGGAATAAATGTAAACAAAACATTAATTTACCTGAGCTGTAATGCATCTTGACAGGAAAAACAAAAATTGCAGCATGTGCATTGCTCACAAAGCAAGTCATTTGTCCAAAACTCAGCAGTGGCCTTTTATTCTGTTGAGACTGTGCACATGTACATGTATGTCCTGAGCGGGTAACTCTGAGTGAGGTGAGTCACCCTGCTCAAGTTGGCCTGAGCAATCAATAAGATCTGTTACAACAAACAATCGGCCATTGCCACCCACCCTATTTTACTCACTCCATCAATATTTATGGCAAATTATCAAGTCAGGAATTCCTCCTGGGGAAAAGGGGGGCATTTCACTTCACCCACCCATCATGATCATCCCTCACAGCCCAACACAAAAGATCCGTATCCTTTGTTTGCGTGCAAATGATAAATTCCTTGAGGAGGGAGACAATCGTGTAAAAATTGTGATGATACAGGATCATGGCACGCTTGACCATCTGTCAAGAAAATTTCAATTTCCATGTCTTGTGCTTCTGGACTGTAACTGATAAACTCAGAGATACCGGTTCTCCCCAGTTGCCCTGCCGAACCAATCTCAATTAAGCCCCAAATGTTGTACATGTACGTACCTAAACCCATTTTTTTAATCCATACATAAATCAATTAATATATTGCTCCACTGTTTCCATTAGCAGGGGGTCCCGTGAAACTGGTCCCCCTCATTTGTTTGTTTGCACATATGTGCAGATGTTGCTGGGAGATACCGGTGTAATTTTCTCAAAGCAGTTACCATTCTGCATTGGTGATAAATCATTGTGAGAAAAGAATCAATATATCTGGACTGCTGGGAGGTTTTCTGTGATAATCAAGAGACAAAAAGCACTGAATAGTTCACCCAGAATCTGGGCTCTTGATCTTTTGATCTTAAGCGGGAAAAAAAGTTTGTATTGCCATAGAAATTGATTAACTGGAAGGACGAGTGTCTACTTCTGAGCTGTATATACATAGAGAGAGTTGAAGTGCCAACCTCAGACTCTGGAACCAAATTGGCTGTTCATTATGTGGGCATGATCCACTGCCCACTGAGCAGTACACCATGTACCTACAGTGTTCTAATTGTTCATGTGTACTGATGCTTAATCCACCATTTTGGTTCCAACAATTGAGACACTGATGTCACAACTTCCTCTATAAGCAGCTTTCAAGTCCGCCTGTATAAAGAGGGCTCTCTGGTACATGTAGGTTTCTTTGTTGGCATGTTTCTTGTTGATATGTACATGTAACATGAGATTAGGCCAGAGAATCTCATGCCAAATTGTTACAGATGTGAAAAACTTCAGGGTTGGCATGAAATGTAAAAAACATTTCCTTCGGTTTGTCCTTTTTAAAGATCGCTGGACTTCAAGATTTCTTCAAAGATGATGATGTCTTCATTGCTTATGGCCAGGAACGGTATTCTCATGATGACTTTGACATTGCTGCAGAGGGTAAAGCATACATGTATCTCGTGACTGTGTGTACTGTATAACTATAAGTCACATATGCAATCAAAATGATTGTCAATTTAGGATTTGCACATCTTGTGTGTGTCGTCTGCACAGTTTGTCCTTTTCTTAACTATGTTGACCAACAGAGAGTACCTTACATTTTTAGAGGACTGACCTCATCCAAATAATCTGCCTGTCATCATGTGTCAGGCCAGTGTGTTTATTTTCTGTAGGTGTTCTACTGGGATTGCAATTTGCTCATGAGCTGTAAATGCAATGAGTCATACCCTTGTGTCCTCTAGTTCATCTTTGAATGCATGGGTTCTAAGCAAGAGTTAAAGAGGCATTGAATGCAGTCAAAATCCATCTGGTATAGGAGGAAGAGGAGGAGGGGCTTGATAATGCTTCAGCCCCTCCTTCCACTTACTTCAACCACCCCTTTATGCCACTAATGCCTTGTTATCACAGCTATGCAATGCATTTCATTTTGTTCAAGGCATAACATGAAACCAATGATCACAGTCCTGCTTTCCATCTACATGTGTAGCAAAGTGCCAAACTTAGTCCACAGCCAGCTTTTTCAACCTCTCGCTGTATTTTATGTTAACCTTTTTGACACTTTGTTGTGTTGAATACTGCCTTTAAGTTTACTGTATCGGTGCACTTTTAGAGGGTATACAGTACATTCCAGAGGCCCTCATGTGATGTCTGAAAAGTGTAAAATTTTCAGCTGTCAAGCCTGTCATCCATAAGTGTGTGTGTACTTTCCACTCGTGAGCACATGAGACCATTTTAAACATCTATAAATTAATGTCACTCCCTGTCACCCTCCAATGGTGATGCGCTAATGTGGACCAGGGACACCTCTCTAATTACTTGCCCTGGACATGCCCAAGCTTAGTAGACTCTGCAGTGGCAATATCAATGTTAAATTAACCATTCTCACGGCACCTGTCACATTTCTGCTTGAGTGGCATCCAGTAGTGAAATTAAATACCATCTTGTTGGCACTTATTATATTCACATATTGTCCTAGAAGGGGAAACCCTTACGATGTTGTCCTCAGTAGGTCATTACACTTTACATAATTGTGCAAAGGTATAATTAGACCCCCCCTATATACAATTCCACTCTTGTGGGCATTTTTGGAACCTTGTGGCACCTGAATTTTTGTTACCATGGGTTATGGACAACATTTTGATCAGTTTGAAACGATTGATTGTATAAAAAGTATAATTGTAAAGTTTAATCTTTAACCCATTTTCAGGTGTGTTAAAAATAAGCCTTGATGCATTGGCCTTTAAACGTTTTACATCATCTGCCTGCCACTTAATTTGCAGAGTGTAAGATTGTCTCTCCATACCGCAACACAAAGCCCAAACAGCGCGTCATGATGAAGAGCCCTGGTACGCCTCGTCGCGCTTCCTCCCCACGACTAGGTGAGTGACCCGCTTGATTTGAGCCCCTTCAGCTCTACGGCCTGGCCCGAACTACTTGAGAATGACAGGGCAAATCTTGCATGTTTACATCATCAAAGATTAGGCTCAAGCAACAGCAGCTAGTTTCATGTACAACGGTAATTCCAGAAATTAGGGGTCCATTATTTTTCATGTCCCTGTCACATCTGACGTATGATTTTGTAAGTTCAGAACACATTTTTTAATTTCCAAGAGTGATGAAGTAATGCAAATTACCTGCCAAACAAATAGTAATACAGTAAAATCTCGATAAGTCGAAGCCCATTAAGTCTAAACTCCATTTACCTCGACGTCTTTCTGTATTCCTGACAAAAGAATAGGCCTTTATGTACAATAAACTATCCATAACTCGAAACATCAAGAGATTCGGATGCAGCCATGCACCCTCAAGCACTTTGTACATGTATCACGTGACCCAGCACGGAAACCCTGACCGACTGGCCCACGCACTGCGTTATGCGGTAACAGCCAGATCAAGCAAAGCAAATGAATGAATTCTCAAGACGTAGACACAGGTACCGGTACATAACTTCATTGGTTTATTGTTTATTAATGTACCACATACAAACATGTTTAATGGTGATGTTTGAGGAAAACTTGCACAGTAGGGATAGCCTAAAATCCACTTCCTGTTCAACTCAGCTTGAAGGCCAACTGCCGTAAGCCAGTAAGGTTGCATGTGCACTGAAGCGTGTAACTTTCGATAACTCGAAAGTCGGATAACTCAAACTTTTTGTCCATTCCCCTGAGTTTTCAAGATGTATTTTTGCGTTGGGGAGATGTTAA